CATTTTCAACCAAAGTAGATTGAACAGATTAATGATGTACTCTCATAAAGAACTTTTTGTATGTTTATTTCCAGTAAAGTGATAAAACCGGCATATGAAAAATAGTATTCAAATAATCTCCACAAAGCCTATGTAAGACCTATCTATATCGATACAAAACAAGCTAAACTTGCTATAAAACATTTAACAGTGAAATTTCAGGCGCTCCAGAAGTGTGTGTACCAATATGGAGGTAACTAATTTTGTTTGCCTACTTTACATCAAGTTGTGTAAAGGGACTGATTACTATTGGCAGGGGTATATTCACTTGGCTAACACAGACATTCCCCGAACTCGTAATAGATCTAAAATAAGGATAATCAGAATAAAATTATGGCCTAACCCTAACCCTGGTACACATACTTCGAGAGTACCAAATTCCATGCCTACCACCTTGCAAAGCATGTAATAAATTAGGTTATGTAAAGTAGAACTGTACCCATAATACATACCTGGCCCCATGTCATGTGTCTCTAAACTTGTCTATAGGAATCTAATGCAAGAAACTTAAGAATCGTAGCAGGCTAAAAATAATGCGCTCCATCTCACACAGCGTGTAGTAAATTGGGGAAGATCCTGTTACCTCCAATAAAATAGTAACCCCTATCCAAAGTGGCTGCTGCTAAAAGAACATAGTGTTGTTCGAAGTAAAAAGCACATTAAACGGTGTATAGAAAATCATCTTCAAATAGCCTATATCACACAAATCTATATGCCTATATAACAAACAAATTTGCTTTGAGAGTCGATCAGAACTGCTGGTTCATTCATCAATCGACATAGAAACTAATCCCATAACGTATACCTGAGCACATGTCCTGTGTCTCTAAACTTGTCAGGAGATATCTACTGCAAGAAACTTGAAAATCCTAGCATGCTACCTCAATCAGGTTGTAATAAATTGCACAGGCAATGATGAACCAAAAATATAGCAACCCCTACATAAAGTGACTGCTGCTAGAGTGTTGTTTGAAGTAAAAAGCACATTAAACTGTGTATAGAAAGAGTTTTTCCAAATAACCTATGTAAGACCCATCTATATCTAGGGTGTCCATGAAGTCTTAAAATTTTTTAAATTGCAAACGGAAGTTAACGATACCATATACACAGATGTATTAAATGAAGTAACAATTACTGATTAAAAAACAACAAACCGGTTAAGATATATTGAGAACTGGCTTCATAACAAAATTAAAATTGTTAAGGGACTTTATGGACACCCTGTATATATATACACCAAGCTAAACTTGCTTGCTTATAAAGACAGTCCCAACTGCTGGTTCATTCATCAATAGACATAGGAACTAATCTCATAATACATACCTGGTCACATGTACTCTGTCACGTTCAGATTAAAGTCAATATTAGGTTTATAATTGAAGTTTAAATATAAAAAGGGTATTCAGCTTTCTACATGATCTCATAAATAAATAATGTGTTAAAAAATTAACCCATTATTACCAGTAGAAATAAAATTAACCCTCAGACTATCAGCAATTTATAGAAAGGAATTCTAGCACAAGGGTCGTTAGGATAGGATAGGATTTACATATTTATCCCGGGGGAGAGGAAAGCCGATAAGACGGCTTATCCATATGGCGAACCACGGCCTCTCGTCCGGTTACCATTCCAAGTCGGGTATGGGATTACTTATATTGTTTGTTTTCGGAAGCATGGACTTGGTGGTGGAGGAAGCCGTAACCGACCAGCGGTTACGTGAACCACCCAACGACGGCGAGGAGTCCAGCAATCCTCTCGCACATAACCATCCCTGTATGGGATTCGAACCTGCGAACCCACGCAGAGTAATTAGAGGTGCGGTGGCGAGCGTATTCCTAACGCTTAGCCCATTGAGCCACACCGCCGCGCCGTTATATAGACATGTTACATGACCATAAAAAGTTTACCCTTTTCAGACATTCAGAAGTGCATACAAAAATTCTATCAATGACCATAAGCACTGAGCTTATAAAACAATTAGGATAAAAACAGAACACAAATTAAAAATAATTAACCCTCTATATCAGGGGGTTCTCAAACTCTTGGTTTTATGGAACCATTGAAGAGGTTGACTATTATTTATGGAGCCCCACAATAAATTTATAAAAATAAACATATTGTTATTTGCTGATTAATGTTGCTGAGTAAATTAAAATTACTTTATTTAATGACTCGGATGTATTTGTTGACTTGTATTTAAAATGAGTAAACGTGTAGTATATTTAAAATAAGTGATAAGTTAATTTTTGATAAGTAAACGACTCAATCTCTGATTAACATTATGGGCGATCAACAAAATGTTAAGATGTAAAGAAATAATTTTTTTGAAATGTTTACTGAACACCACAGCATGGTGTTAGTTTAGACGGGCCGATCAAGAACTTAAGATGAATCGATGAAAAACAGTTTCATTTTATATTATTACCTCACAATCAACAATTGTTACATGACAAACACTTTAAAAATAAGTCTTCAGATAAGTATCGAATTACTCCCTACATCATGACAACAATGAAAAGGTGTGAAATAACGTGTAACAGGATAAAACGATCTGATTGTTTTAAAATGATCTTTGAAAGAAGGTGTGAAAATGATTGATGTCTCCGAATAGGTATAGAATGGGTGATGATACATTAATGTATTGGATTTTTATTCGCTCGCGTTTGTGTGGACGGAACACATTGCTCCTTGGAAGAAAATAGATTCTGGAATTTGGCATAATTTAAAGATAACAGTTTACGTTTTTAATGAGAGCTTGTGATATCAAAATTACCGCTCTGATATTAATTTGTGATGATGGTATAATGTGGGTAATGATACAAAAGTGTTTTGGATTATTGGTGGCTCGGGTCCACGTATAAAGGATACATGGCTTTATGGAAGAACAAAGATTTTGGAATTCAGCAAAATTTAAAGATAAGGTTCTATGTTATTAATAAGAGTTCGCGATATCACAATTACTGTTATATATTGGGGTTGAAACTGAAGTGTTTGGGATTTTTGCTCGCTTGGGTTCATGTAGACAGGATACATAGTTCTATATAAGCGAGATTACAAAGATAACATTTTACATTTTTAATAAGACTTTGCGATATCAAAATTATTGCTTTGATATTAAAATTTTTATGTTTCATTTGGTTTCTGTCAAATTTTATGAATTTAAATTTGAATTTTGATGAAAGTATTCTAATATGGACATTGTAAAATGATTGAGACCAGAGCTTCCCCAAACTGCGGGTTTGAATGTGGACAGGGTCACCGACAATTTTGATTTATTGGAAGAAGTCACAACAATAAAAGTTTGGGAAACCCTGATCTAGACGAGCAGCTTTGCAATATGCTGATTTAGGCAATAGTTCAATATTAAACAACTTTGATATAAAAAACCTAAATTCCTAAATTGATTTTTGAATATTGTGGATAAACCTCCCGCAATGGTTGAATATCAAAAGTGAGAATAAAAAATTATAAACAAGATGCGAGACAAAAAAAACTGAACAAGGAAAAAATAATTTTCAAAATTCATATAATACTCAAAATTCTTGGGGGAAAATGATGAGCGTTTCTGACGTGGGACAAGATAATTAGTTTATAGGTAAACACAGGTTGAGAGAAATTTTTATCAGGCAGTAACACACTATTTAGAAATAAGCGTCGCAGCATGGTACAGGAATATAATTTTTATGAATAGTGCGAGTGCATTTGAAGGATATTTTGTAGGCGTTGTTGTAAGGCAGGGTTTCCAAAACTGGAATCCGTGGACCCAATGGAGTCAGTGATGACTGCACTGAGGGTCCTTAACGATATGAAAAGAGTCCGAAATAGATCATAATCTTATCGAATTGCCGTTAGCCTGTAAGTATTCAACGTTAGTATGTCATGAGTCCGACTTTCGTGAGTTTTATTAGATCCGTGATGACTGCAAAGGGTCCTTAACGATATGAAAAGAGTCCGAAATAGATCATAATCTTATCGAATTGCCGTTAGCCTCTAAGTATTCAACAACAGTATGTCATGAGTCCGACTTTCGTGAGTTTTATTAGATCTGTGATGACTGCACTGAGGGTCCTTAACGATATGAAAAGAGTCCGAAATAGATCATAATCTTATCGAATTGCCGTTAGCCTGTAAGTATTCAACGTTAGTATGTCATGAGTCCGACTTTCGTGAGTTTTATTAGATCCGTGATGATTGCAAAGGGTCCTTAACGATATGAAAAGAGTCCGAAACAGATACAAATAGATCATAATCTTATCGAATTGCCGTTAGCCTGTAAGTATTCAACTTTAGTATGTATTGAGTCCGACTTTCAGTGTTTCATATAGTCTCTTTGGTTAGGCATATGAAAGTCCGTCAAAATTAAGACTCACAAACAGTGGTTCATAGCCCAGAAAAGTATGGGAAACCCTGGTATAAGACATTCTGTATAAAAATCTGAGAAACCAATGTAAATTACTTCGGCAGAATTATGAAAATACAATGAAAAATAAGTTTATATATAGTTACAATTTGAAATTTATAATTTGAAAAATAGAGGAAATCATTTTAATTGGTAATAAGTCAATAATGAATAGAGGGAAATATTAAACTTTATTAATTTAAATAACATGATGCACAACTTGGGGTATGTATTATACATAATAAATATCATACCTACATGATTCCAGAGTGTCTTGCTGCACACTAACACAAAATATTTCTGTAACGTTTCGTTAGACCAAGGTCAAACTTCCTCAGACATACATAGTTCAATGTATAGTTCAGACAAAACGTTACAGAGATATATTCGTGTTAGTGTATAGCAAGACTCTTAAATCACTTAAGATAGTTATCTTTACTCTTGCTACAGCATCCTTGCATTATATGCATACGGATCCATCAACACAAGAGCATAGAAAAAGGATTGAAGTAGTTAGTCCTGCAGAATCTGAATCAATAAACATCATATTTAGAATTTAATCAATAACATAGTTATGAATTTATGTTTCCTACTTCTCTCACTCAGTGGACTCGTCCTTGTGACCGGGGATCAGATCATTCTTGCAATAGAAGCAGATGGAATTAAATTCGCTGGATGTAATGTAAGTAATAAATGATCTTCATAGTGAAAATATCAAACTATTACGGTGGTTCTCAAATGGTGGGCGTGCCTCACAAGGGGGGGTAGACATATTTTTGAGGGGCCGTAAAGCTAACTAAAAATAAAAATATTTGGGGGCTCCCGAAGTATGCGAACCAAGATGGCGGACATCGGAACGTAACAGGTTAGGGTTAGGCGATAATTTTTTTCCAATTTTCCTTATTTTAGTCCTATTATCAGTTCGAAGACTAGCCAAGAGCCTCCTGTAGTATTTATACCTAAAATTATGGCCTAACCCTAACCTAGTACACATATTACATTCCGATGTCCGCCATCTTGGTTCGCATACTTCGGGAGCCCCCATATTTGTTGGATTTGACATTCCTGCCCTATTTTAGATATTTATATTTCTTTATTTCGGATATTCACGTTCCATCTACATGTTGCTTGAATAAAACATACTGGATACCTTCACCTTACTATCTGTTATTTGTAGCTGATTGTTAGCTAGGTGAGGTGGGGGCGCGAGACTTGACAAATTCTAAAAAGAGGACGTGGCTTAAAAAGTTTAAGAACCACTCTAGTGAGATAAAAAAAAGTGGGACTTTGGCAACTTCCTTATCAGTGGTTTTTAATCCTTTTGGTCGAGTCGTTATGAAAATTTTAGTAGTTAAAGGAATCCTTGTGAAAATGTTTTGTAAGGCCGCCGCAGAGTGATTCATGTAACCGTCTGTCGATTACGAATTACTCCACCATGAAGTCCATGCATCAGAAACAAATAAATGACTAACTAAACCCATACCCGACATAGACTGGTAACCGGACGGGGGGATGAAATATGATCAAGTCGTCTTATCGCATTTCCTCTCGACTGAGATGAATATGAAAATCCCGTCACTGTTACCTGACTATGCAATAAACGGGGCTCCCAAAGTATGCGAACCAAGATGGCGGACATCGGAATGTATATGTATACTAGGTTAGGGTTAGGCCATAATTTCAGGTATAAATACTACGGGAGGCTCTTGGCTAGTCTTCGAACTGATAATAGGACTAAAATAAGAAAAATTGGAAAAAAATTATCGCCTAACCCTAACCTGTTACCCATGTTACGTTCCGATGTCCGCCATCTTGGTTCGCATACTTTGGGAGCACCCAATAAACACTATAAAATTTCATTCAGACTTGCCAGTTACTCGCATTTGAAGCTTTCGTGCCTGGGATTTGTCCTGTGACTGAGCAACTCACAACAGCCCAACTTAGTGAGGTCATAGCGAACGCAGAAAGTTCAAACACACAGCCTTACAATTTTGATCAACTGATCGTATGTTGCGATGGCACTTCGGCTTCTAATCTACTATTGGGTATGAGTAGGCTTACCATTATATTATATGAAACAAAAAAACGGGCCAGTGAGGTTTGAACAAACCCGGTTCGATTCTATTAATTTTCAAAGCATTAAAAAAGTGCACGTTGTTTAAAAATAGAAGTATAAGATAATAAGAATCTATCGTCGAAAACAACTAAACTGCATATAGTCAAATATTCGCATACTCCCAAAATTAAATTAATATTATTTTCTAATATTTTCAAATGATTGTTTTGGACAAAATATCATTTTGAAATTGAAAGCGACGCTTTCAGGGTGTAGAAAATATTTAAGGAGGTTGAGGCAGTCTGCAGCAAATAATTGGAAAAAATGAATCCATTTAAATTTTCGAAACCTTCTATATATACGTAGGTATTGAAAACATTAAATGGATCAGAAATGCAAAACATTCAACTTTATAAACATATAAAATCCCCAATTTTGGTATGTATAAAAAAAATGCTCTTTCATTCATTCAGTTTATATAAGTTTGAGTAATTGTGAAAAGCCAAACAAAAACAAAATATAAATTCCAGATTATTCAACTTTATAAATATAAAAACATCAACTGTGCTTCCATGATTAAAATATTAAACATAATAAAAATACTTTATTTATAACATCACACAGATGTTCTCCGATATTCTATCATCAATGAAATCACCATGGACAAATGCACACAAGATTTCTCACCGTCCATGGCAGATTTTGTCGTCATCTACGGACTTCAGAAAGTGACCATCATTTCATCAACCTCAACTGATTACCCAAGAAACAGACTGGACCTGACTCAAACAGATGAAGGAGATACGACCACAAATTACCAGTAAATAATAATTTCTCAAATTTAAATTTTCTAACAAAAGCGCTCCAGACGTGTATGTGCCAATATGTTACATTATGTAAAGAACTGTCCAGGGGAAATGTTGAAATTACTAAACTAAGGGAAGGGAATGTAAGATAAGGGTAATATCAGATTGCTGATACTAATGACTCATGGACTAAACCTCACTCATGACATGACGTAAAATAATCTTACAACTCAATAAAATATACAAGGGTATTTGCCCTGGTACACATACTACGTGAGTACCAACAAAGGAGTCTCATTCCACACAATACATCCCAAGAACCAAGTTTTTAACAAGCTCGGACAAAAACTTGTATTTTTTTTATACTACTCTTATAAGTGTTGTTTGCTTTGAACAAAGCCTTAAACAAGAAGCCATTGATATCTAACGTTGCTTAAGAAGGCACTATAGAGCAGAGGAAAAAGAGGGAGGGTGATTTGAAGGTCGAAAACCTTTTAAAACATAAACGGGAATAACGGTCAGAGATCGAAGACTTATCAATCGAAAGTTAGGGGATCCCTAAAACAGAAACTGCGGTTTCGATTCATCCGCTTACTCCACAGCGACACTGTGTGTCCCATCACTAAATAATTAATAACTCGCTAATTATACTGGTCTGGCCCGAGATATGATGAATGCAAATGCCAAATTTCGTGAGATATCGCGTAACATACGAAAGTGTCTAACAGACAAATACCTATCAATATACTTACCGATCAAGATCGATAAGTAAAAAATACATATTAGTTGACCCTACATATTAGTCGACCCCACAAATCATAACACGCTGTATGCACCTATCACAGCAAATGACTGTTAATGCGCTTGAGTTATGCGCGTATGAGCAAAATTTTTAGCGTGATTAGAGTTATGCGCATATTAAAATCCGACTCCTTAATTTGGCAACTTTTTTTGAGTTTTAAACTCAGCTTATATATGCGGGGATATAAGTTATTTGGGTATATAGACTATAGTCTTTCTCAAAGACCTGAACCATTAAAATTTAAATATATATCTAATTTCCAGGAACTACCATATCGTTCTTCTCTACCAAAACCTTTTCGATGGATCCAACGGCGTCCGAGGTTTGAGTGTAATTTATGACCACACCTCGACAAATCTACCAGCAGAAATGACCGCAGCCCTTCAAAGAGCACCATCTAGTGTTACCTCAAAAGGAGACAACACTTTTCTGGCTTCAGCAATTTATGGAAAAAAGAACCAAGATATGTAAATGGAACTAGGAATGTATATTCCTAGTTCCCTAGAACTTTACTTGGCAACAGTCTTGGTTTGAAATAATATTGATATTTGTATGATTTTTAATACAGCGCATTTTCGATCTGAACGCGTTTTTATGAATAAAAAAGTTTTTTCTAAAATAACACATTTCTGGCTTCAGCAATTCATAGAAAACAAAATATGAAAAGATGTATTTGGGACTAGTAATGGTTTAAAAACCAAAATTTTACTCGGCAATTGGTCGAAATTTGATATACCTGTAAGCTGTAATACATATTTTTTATACTAAGTATTAATATGATTTTCCTATCCCAATTTCGAGCAAATTTTATCATATCATATTATACCAATGAAAAATTGAACGGAAGCCATATAAATTACTATTCAAAACGCATTCTGAAATAGTATATTCGAAAATGCTTCATGTACACTCAGGTTCTTCTAAAACTTACCGGTAGTTTAAATTTCTGTTTCTAATCCCAGATCTTGCCAATGTTTTTATGCATTTTATTTTTATAATTTAAACTTGACAAAACACCTCAGTGTTGCAATATATTTTCATTTTCATACTTTTGTTTCATTTTTTGCTTCAAAAATACAAAAGCCATTTAGATACAATGGTGTGTTGAAAATGTTTGAGGACATCGGCGCGGCAGTGTGGCTCAACGGGCCAAGCGTTAGGAATACGCTCGCCACCGCACCTCTAACTACTCTGCGTGGGTTCGCAGGTTCGAATCCCATGCAGGGATGGTTATGTGCGAGAGGATTGCTGGACTCCTCGCCGTCGTTGGGTGGTTCACGTAACCGCTGGTCGGTTACGGCTTCCTCCACCACCAAGTCCATGCTTCCGAAAACAAACAATACAGTAAATCTAATCCCATACCCGACTTGGAATGGTAACCGGACGAGAGGCCGTGGTTCACCATATCGACGCATGAAATCCAAATTGGGCTAAGTCCATTTTTCTAGTTTTGAGAAAAACGCAAAAAACGTTTTTTTTTTGTTTCTTTTTTTTATTGCTCTAATACCTTACATCGAAGATGTCTAGTTTTTATGGTCCACCAAAGTTACAATGAAGGCCATATTTAGATGGTATAAAAAAACTTGTGCTCCGCCCCAATTTTTTTTGGGGGGGTTTTTTTTGGACTTAACCCTTTTTGGCTCTCAATTTTCTGGACCAGAAACAATTTTATTGGACTTAGGGCCCCTTCATTATGTTATTATAGAGGCTGGTATGGACTTAGCGCTTTGTATTATATTTTTTGAGAGGAGCTATGTCCAAAAAACGGACTTAGCGCTTTGTATTATATTTTTTGAGAGGAGCTATGTCCAAAAAACGGACTTAGCCCCAACTTACAATGCAGTTATCCAGAGCTAAGTCCACTATAGTAGACACAGCTCTGTTTAGTTCTCAAATGCCCTAAAAAAAGCAGGTTTATGTCCATAGCTGTCTTGAGATCTAGAGCACCTAGAGAAAAGGCAAATAGACCAAAATGTAGAGCTAAGTCCAGGAAAATCAGCAATTGAAAAATGTCATTTTTTGGAAAAGTGGACTTAGCACTGTTTGGTTTTGAGGTGTCGATATGGATAAGCCGTATTATCGGCTTTCCTCTCCCCCGGGATAAATATGTAAATCCTATCCTATCCATTACAAGGGGTGAAAAAAATATCATTTATCGGTCAACTAAGTAAGTACTGGTAAATACATTGTGAAGGAAAGACATTTTAAGGTCATCTAATTCAGACCATAGCTATTAGCTACCGGTATATCAATTTTCATTTCACTAAGGGTACTCCTGAAGTATGTGCACCAAGATGACGCAGACAGGAATGTAGTATGTGTACCAGGTTAGGGTTCTAGTCCCCGAACACGTAACAGAACTAAAATAAGAAAAATTGGAATAAAATTATGGCCTAATCCTAACCTGGTACACATACTACATTCCGGTGTCGGACATCCTGGGATGCCCACTTCAGGAGCACCCCACTATATACATACATTATGAAGGAAAAACATTTTAAGGTCATTTAGTTCAAACTATAATGGTGTACTTGGAACAAATTTGTCCGACTTTGCAGGCAAAGATGAAATTTAATGATCTAGAAAAAATATTTTAGCCCGTTATTCGGTGTATATGGTAGTTACGATAGATTATTTGAGAATAAACTTTTTAGGGACCTCCAGAAGTATGCGCACCACGATGGCGCACAACCTGAACATAGAATGTGTGTACCGGTTAGGATTCAGGTTGTGCGACATCTTGGTGCTGATACTTCTGGAGCACCCTTTTTAGATATTGTAAGCAGCGGGCTGCTGGCATTTACCGCTACTGACATATTGATATAGAAAAACAGAAGCTATCTGGGGCTCTGGTATATAATGCAGAGCGTTTAAAACGAGAATATTGGTTGGAGACCGAAGACTTATCGATCGAAACTGCAGTTTCGATTCATGATTCTATAGTGACACCGCGTGTTCCATCACTAATTAATTAATAACTCGTTAATTATACGACATAATTCATCCAAAATCAATAGGCTTCTGGTCCGAGATATGATGAATGCACATGCAACATTTGGAGCAGATTCAACCTCGCTTTCGTGAGATATCGCGTGCATCTAACAGAAAAGCAAACAAATATCTATCAACATACTTACCGATCAAGATCGATAAGTAATAACTTAAGAGCTGCTAATGCTTCTGTGTATAGCCATAATAGTGTGTTCTACTACAAAAAATTTTTTGATAAGTATGTACATTGAAAAAAAATACAGTAAAATAGTCTTTAGACATTGCGGTTTCAAAGGTAAAATTTTTTTTATAAGTATGTACATAAGTTTTGGAAAACACACCGCTGAAGCACATATAATAATAAAAATACAGTGGTTTTAAATATATTTGAACAAAGACATAAGAAGAGAAAGATGAACAAGACAACATTAGAGAGAAAAAAAACACAAATTAAGTGTGACAGACGTGCGCCAAACATTACAAAAAACTTCTTTTGTTCCGTTCTACTCAGGAACAGCGTGCTCTGTGCACTAAAGATAACACAATGTCAAGTATTTCTAAAGAATTTTGAATAATATTAATCTTCTATGAGCTAATAAAGGGCTTTATGATGTGACAAGGCCGCTTATATAAAAAATTTTATCTACTGAAAACTTTTGGAAGAACATAGTGCCCGGGCCATGTTTGATATATAGATAAATAAAACAAAAGCACAATAGAAGACATTCACAAAATTTACTTTATTATGCCTGGCCAAAGATATGTACAATATAATCACTAGATTATCACTGGGCAATTCTTGACAAGTAGAAGCCCAAATTTTTATTTTGATTAAAGGGAGCGTCCTGCAATAATAGGATCAATGTGATTACAATAGAAAAAGTAATATTGACTTAGCAAGTATTGAAATGCCAAACCCAAGTTTTTAAAGCGCTCCTCCTTTAATCCTTTGAACAATAATGTGTGAGGTTAACTTTGGCCATGGTTAAGATATAGATAACTTATGCATAAAGATACCTATCTCAGGAATGGCCCATATTTGTATTCAAAGACTAAAATTAAAGTGTTTAATAATGAGCTATCATTCAGATTCCCTTCTGAATTCGGAAATTATTATTATTCATTGCTCAAATCTTATTTATTCGTGGTTACAGTATTATTTAAATAAGGGTCTGTCAATAGCCATTATTCAGTTTAGATGTGAGGTTCTGAAAAAGGTTTGATTTGGAATTGCTCTTCCAGGGTTACTGAGACTTCCTGGGTGCGCAGACAGAAATTTTGAAGGAGGGGGGAACTTCTGAAATTCTGGATTACCAAGTTAAACAGTAACAGCTAGAAGGTCCATAGTTTTTAAAAATCTTAGGGACCTAATAAGCATTTCAAATTACAAAATTATGATACAGGAAAACGTTTTTTTTTTATTTAAAAAATTTTCTGACTCACAACATCTTGTAGCCACCATGGGTACGATACGTCCTAGCTGGGTTACAGTACCATCAGGAAACTGAGAGGTTAATAGGTTTATTTCAATTCATTCGCAGAAATGAAACGCAGAGAATAGAAAAAAATCTGGGAAGAAAACAGAATCCAGGGGTTTCTGAAATTTCTAATTGCCAAGTCAGACCGTAACAGCCAGCGGAAAACATGAATTTCCCAAAAGTTTCGAAAGTCTAAAAAGCGTTTTAGGATACAAAAAATGCTGGAAGGGAAGGTTGTCAAATTCTGGCTAAGAATGGAAGAGTAAAAAAATGATTAAAAGACAGTAAAATCAAAGCAAAAACCTGGCTACACCGCAATTTCTACTTTACTATAATCCAATGATTTTTAAGAGGTGCTCAAGGAATAAGGGAAGCAATACACAGAGTACAAGTGTAGTTTAAGTATTGTTGAATGAGGCATCTTGTCTTCAAAGTGTATTGATGGAAGTTTTATTACTTAAAAAAAAGTAAGAACAATATAACTCGGAATTGAAAATAATGATTAGATCATTGTAATAGTTTTACTCGGCATCCCCAAGTTCTAAGTTTTTGATACAACTACAATGCTAGCGGAGTTTTATAATAATTTAGATTAGGATGTGTCTTTTTTGTAGATATCAGTACATCTTGTATTTTAGGGGTATTGATGAAAGTTTTATTACGAGTGATAATCAAGAAAAATAATAAAATGGGTCAGTATTTCAGAGTTCCAACTATAAAACCAAACTGCAACTTTATACATCATTATTGTTAATACATTTGTGCCAGAGTAGAGCATGAATCTTGAAATATAGAGAAAAACCCCGATATACTGGTGATCATTTTTGATACACCCACTGTCATTTTACGGTCAAAAATATTGATCATTATTTCCGGCGAATATTAAAAAAATAGTAAAAAGAGCTCAAAATAAAACACAAAAGGTGAATTGCCTTCTTAACAATGTCATACGAGCAATAAATTGTGCTTATCTTGTGATATTGGTGATTGGTTATGAGAACAG